TGTTTTTTATATTTCATGAGAAGTATCTTCTTTCCTTTGATACACTTGCCTTGTCTGTCGGGGTAGCCCAGTGCTGGTCTGCTGTTCATCAAGCCATGGAAGCTGTTCTGTAGTTCTTTTGGGGTGAATTAACACTGTAGAGGAGGCCTTATTTTGTTCTAGGAATGATTTTATAAACATCTGCCCCAGATACACCAGGGTTTGGCATATGATAAGGACGCCAATTACACCTAAAGCTTTGGGGTTTCTAATTGTTCTGTAAGGATATCTGCCTCTCAGTCAGTCTGGCCATTTTTCTTTTGTTAAGCACTGAATTATAGCGGGAAGGTCAGAGGGTTCCTGTTCATTCTAAGGGCAGGTCTACACTTAAAACACTGCAGCGATGCACCGGCATGGCTTCAGTGGAGACGCTACCTTTGCCAACAGGAAGACTTCTCTCATCAGCATAGGTACTCCACCTCCTCCAGAGATAGTAGCTATGTTGATAATCCAATAAATACAATTATGCTACCACAAGTACAGCTTTAAGAGATTCCTGTATACACTGGGGACACTTCATTATTACAAATTTAGGGGGAGGTATAGTTTGAAGACATAGAATTTTTTTTGAAGTCTTTGATTTGCACACCCCTTAATAGTAAACTGTTCTATTGCCAGGATTTTGGTAAACAGTTTAAATTCATTGTAGGGATAAGATGATAGAAAATTATCCAGAAGAAAGGAGAGGAGGATATTGCACTCTGATTTCCAGTAGGTATGTTCTAGGAAAAAGAAAATGTCCCTTTTACAGTATACTTTTGTGTGTGGTGAAATGCTAAGTGTATTCTCTAGCTTGGACATGAGTATTTCTCCAGGCATCTGTTAGGCCAATTTTTTTTTAACAGGATTAAGGGTATGTCTACACTACGGAATAAGGTCGAATTTATAGAAGTCGGTTTTTTAGAAATCGGTTTTATATATTCGAGTGTGTGTGTCCCCACAGAAAATGCTCTAAGTGCATTAAGTGCATTAACTCGGCGGAGCGCTTCCACAGTACCGAGGCTAGAGTCGACTTCCGGAGCGTTGCACTGTGGGTAGCTATCCCACAGTTCCCGCAGTCTCCGCTGCCCATTGGAATTCTGGGTTGAGATCCCAATGCCTGATGGGGCTAAAACATTGTCGCGGCTGGTTCTGGGTCATTATCGTCAGGCCCCCGTTCCCTCCCTCCCTCCGTGAAAGCAAGGGCAGACAATCATTTCGCGCCTTTTTTCCTGAGTTACCTGTGCAGACGCCATATCACGGCAAGCATGGAGCCCGCTCAGGTAACCGTCACCCTATGTCTCCTGGGTGCTGGCAGACGCGGTACGGCATTGCTACACAGTAGCAGCAACCCATTGCCTACTGGCAGCAGACGGTACAGTACGACTGGTAGCCGTCATCGTCATGTCCGAGGTGCTCCTGGCCACGTCGGCTGGGAGCGCCTGGGCAGACATGGGTGCAGGGACTAAATTTGGAGTGACTTGACCAGGTCATTCTCTTTAGTCCTGCAGTCAGTCCTATTGAACCGTCTTAGGGTGAGCGGGCAGGCGATACGGGCTGCTAGCACTCGTACTGTACAATCTTCTGCCGAGCAGCCATGAGATGTGGATGGCATGCAGTCCTTCTGCACTGTCTGCTGCCAGCCAAAGATGTAAAAGATAGATGGAGTGGATCAAAACAAGAAATAGACCAGATTTGTTTTGTACTCATTTGCTTCCCCCCCTCCCCTGTCTAGGGGACTCATTCTTCTAGATCACACTGCAGTCACTCACAGAGAAGGTGCAGCGAGGTAAATCTAGCCATGTATCAATCAGAGGCCAGGCTAACCTTCTTGTTCCAATAAGGACAATAACTTAGGTGCACCATTTCTTATTGGAACCCTCCGTGAAGTCCTGCCTGAAATACTCCTAGATGTAAAGCCACCCCCTTTGTTGATTTTAGCTCCCTGAAGCCAACCCTGTAAGCGCCCCTCCCGGCATCAGAGCAACGGCAAACAATCGGGCATCTGAGAGAGTGCTGTCCAGAGCAGTCACAATGGAGCACTCTGATGGGGCTAAAACATTGTCTCGGGTGGTTCTGGGTACGTATCGTCAGGCCCCCGTTCCCTCCCTCCTTCCGTGAAAGCAAGGGCAGAGAATCATTTCGCACCTTTTTTCCTGAGTTACCTGTGCAGACGCCATACCACGGCAAGCATGGAGCCCGCTCAGGTAACCGTCACCCTATGTCTCCTGGGTGCTGGCAGACGCGGTACGGCTTTGCTGCACAGTAGCAGCAACCCATTGCCTTCTGGCAGCAGACGGTGCAATACGACTGGTAGTCGTCCTCGTCGTGTCCGAGGTGCTCCTGGCCACGTCGGCTGGGAGCGCCTGGGCAGACATGGGCGCAGGGACTAAATTTGGAGTGACTTGACCAGGTCATTCTCTTTAGTCCTGCAGTCAGTCCTATTGAACCGTCTTATGGTGAGCGGGCAGGCGATACGGACTGCTAGCAGTCGTACTGTACCATCTTCTGCCAGGCAGGCAAGAGATGAGGATTGCTAGCAGTCGTATTGTACCATCTTCTGCCAGGCAGGCAAGAGATGAAGATGGCTAGCAGTCGTACTGTACCATCTTCTGCCGAGCAGCCATGAGATGTGGATGGCATGCAGTCCTTCTGCACCGTCTGCTGCCAGCCAAAGATGTAAAAGATAGACGGAGTGGCTCAGAACAAGAAATAGACCAGATTTGTTTTGTACTCATTTGCCTCCTCCCCTGTCTAGGGGACTCATTCCTCTAGATCACACTGCAGTCACTCACAGAGAAGGTGCAGCGAGGTAAATCTAGCCATGTATCAATCAGAGGCCAGGCTAACCTCCTTGTTCCAATGAGAACGATAACTTAGGTGCACCATTTCTTATTGGAACCCTCCGTGCAGTCCTGCCTGAAATACTCCTTGATGTACAAGGCACCCCCTTTCTTGATTTTAGCTCCCTGAAGCCAACCCTGTAAGCCGTGTCGTCAGTCGCCCCTCCCTCCGTCAGAGCAACGGCAGACAATCGTTCCGCGCCTTTTTTCTGTGCGGACGCCATACCAAGGCAAGCATGGAGGCCGCTCAGCTCACTTTGGCAATTAGGAGCACATTAAACACCACACGCATTATCCAGCAGTATATGCAGCACCAGAACATGGCAAAGCGATACCGGGCGAGGAGGCGACGTCAGCGCGGTCACATGAGTGATCAGGACATGGACACAGATTTCTCTGAAAGCATGGGCCCTGCCAATGCATGCATCATGGTGCTAATGGGGCAGGTTCATGCTGTGGAACGCCGATTCTGGGCTCGGGAAACAAGCACAGACTGGTGGGACCGCATAGTGTTGCAGGTCTGGGACGATTCCCAGTGGCTGCGAAACTTTCGCATGCGTAAGGGGCACTTTCATGGAACTTTGTGACTTGCTTTCCCCTGCCCTGAGGCGCATGAATACCAAGATGAGAGCAGCCCTCACAGTTGAGAAGCGAGTGGCGATAGCCCTGTGGAAGCTTGCAACGCCAGACAGCTACCGGTCAGTTGGAAATCAATTTGGAGTGGGCAAATCTACTGTGGGGGCTGCTGTGATGCAAGTAGCCCACGCAATCAAAGATCTGCTGATATCAAGGGTAGTGACCCTGGGAAATGTGCAGGTCATAGTGGATGGCTTTGCTGCAATGGGATTCCCTAACTGTGGTGGGGCTATAGACGGAACCCATATCCCTATCTTGGCACCGGAGCACCAAGCCGCCGAGTACATAAACCGCAAGGGGTACTTTTCGATAGTGCTGCAAGCTCTGGTGGATCACAAGGGACGTTTCACCAACATCAACGTGGGATGGCCGGGAAAGGTGCATGATGCTCGCATCTTCAGGAACTCTGGTCTGTTTCAAAAGCTGCAGGAAGGGACTTTATTCCCAGACCAGAAAATAACTGTTGGGGATGTTGAAATGCCTATATGTATCCTTGGGGACCCAGCCTACCCCTTAATGCCATGGCTCATGAAGCCGTACACAGGCAGCCTGGACAGTAGTCAGGAGCTGTTCAACTACAGGCTGAGCAAGTGCAGAATGGTGGTAGAATGTGCATTTGGACGTTTAAAGGCGCGCTGGCGCAGTTTACTGACTCGCTTAGACCTCAGCGAAACCAATATTCCCACTGTTATTACTGCTTGCTGTGTGCTCCACAATATCTGTGAGAGTAAGGGGGAGACGTTTATGGCGGGGTGGGAGGTTGAGGCAAATCGCCTGGCTGCTGGTTACGCGCAGCCAGACACCAGGGCGGTTAGAAGAGCACAGGAGGGCGCGGTACGCATCAGAGAAGCTTTGAAAACCAGTTTCATGACTGGCCAGGCTACGGTGTGAAAGTTCTGTTTGTTTCTCCTTGATGAAACCCCCCGCCCCTTGGTTCACTCTACTTCCCTGTAAGCTAACCACCCGCCCCTCCTCCCTTCAATCACCACTTGCAGAGGCAATAAAGTCATTGTTGCTTCACATTCATGCATTCTTTATTCATTCATCACACAAATAGGGGGATGACTACCAAGGTAGCCCAGGAGGGGTGGTGGAGGAGGGAAGGAAAATGCCGCACAGCACTTTAAAAGTTTACAACTTTAAAATTTATTGAATGACAGCCTTCTTTTTTGGGGGCAATCCTCTGTGGTGGAGTGGCTGGTTGGCCGGAGGCCCCCCCACCGCGTTCTTGGGCGTCTGGGTGTGGAGGCTATGGAACTTGGGGAGGAGGGCGGTTGGTTACAGAGGGGCAGCAGTGGCAGTCTGTGCTCCAGCTGCCTTTGCTGCAGCTCAACCATACACTGGAGCATACTGGTTTGGTCCTGCAGCAGCCTCAGCATTGAATCCTGCCTCCTCTCATCACGCTGCCGCCACCTTTGAGCTTCAGCCCTGTCTTCAGCCCGCCACTTACTCTCTTCAGCCCGCCACCTCTCCTCCCGGTCATTTTGTGCTTTCCTCCACTCTGACATTATTTGCCTCCACGCATTCGTCTGTGCTCTGTCAGTGTGGGAGGACAGCATGAGCTCGGAGAACATTTCATCGCGAGTGCATTTTTTTTTCTTTCTAAGCTTCACTAGCCTCTGGGAAGGAGAAGATCCTGTGATCATTGAAACACATGCAGCTGGTGGAGAAAAAAAAGGGACAGCGGTATTTAAAAAGACACATTTTATAAAACAGTGGCTACAGTCTTTCAGGGTAAACCTTGCTGTTAACATTACATACATAGCACATGTGCTATCGTTACAAGGTCCCATTTTGCCTCCTCCCACCGCGTGACTACCCCCTCAACCTTCCCCCCTCCCTGTGGCTAACAGTGGGGAACATTTCTGTTTAGCCACAGGCAAACAGCCCAGCAGGAATGGGCTCCTCTGAGTGTCCCCTGAAGAAAAGCACTCTATTTCAACCAGGTGACCATGAATTATATCTCACTCTACTGAGGATAACACAGAGAGATAAAGAACGGATGTTGTTTGAATGCCAGCAAACATACACCACAATGCTGTGTTCTACAATGTTTCCCGAGTACGTGTTACTGGCCTGGAGTGGTAAAGTGTCCTACCATGAAGGACGCAATAAGGCTGCCCTCCCCAGAAACCTTTTGCAAAGGCTTTAGGACTACATCTAGGAGAACCGCAAATGCCAGGGCAAAGTAATCCTTTCACATGCTTGCTTTTAAACCATGTATAGTATTTTAAAAGGTACACTCACCAGAGGTCCCTTCTCCGCCTGCTGGGTCCAGGAGCCAGCCTTGGGTGGGTTCGGGGGTACTGGCTCCAGGTCTAGGGTGAGAAACAGTTCCTGGCTGTCGGGAAAACTGGTTTCTCCGCTTGCTTGCTGTGAGCTATCTACAACCTCCTCCTCATCATCATCTTCTTCGTCCCCAAAACCTGCTTCCGTATTGCCTCCATCTCCATTGAAGGAGTCAAACAACACAGCTGGGGTAGTGGTGGCTGAACCCCCTAAAATGGCATGCAGCTCATCATAGAAGCGGCATGTTTGGGGCTCTGACCCAGAGCGGCTGTTCGCCTCTCTGGTTTTCTGGTAGGCTTGCCTCAGCTCCTTCAGTTTCACGCGGCACTGCTTCGGGTCCCTGTTATGGCCTCTGTCCTTCATGCCCTGGGAGATTTTCAGAAAGGTTTTGGCATTTCGAAAACTGGAACGGAGTTCTGATAGCACGGATTCCTCTCCCCAAACAGCGATCAGATCCCGTACCTCCCGTTCGGTCCATGCTGGAGCTCTTTTGCGATTCTGGGACTCCATCATGGTCACCTGTGCCGATGAGCTCTGCATGGTCACCTGCAGCTTGCCACGCTGGCCAAACAGGAAATGAGATAAAAAGTTCGCGGTTCTTTTCCTGTCTACCTGGCCAGTGCATCTGAGTTGAGAGTGCTGTCCAGAGCGGTCAGAATGGAGCACTCTGGGATAGCTCCCGGAGGCCAATACCATCGAATTGTGTCCACAGTACCCCAAATTCGAGCCGGCAACGTCGATTTAAACGCTAATCCACTTGTCAGGGGTGGAGTAAGGAAATCGATTTTAAGAGCCCTTTAAGTCGAAATAAAGGGCTTCATTGTGTGGACGGGTGCAGGTTTACATTGATTTAACGCTGCTAAATTCGACCTAAAGTCCTAGTGTAGACCAGGGCTAAGTGTCTTGGAAAACTTATTCTTTTCTCCTTCCTAAGTGTTATCAGACAACTATTGTCTGCTTTTGTATCTCTTTTCTTTGTTACCTCTTGTGAGGTAGTGGAAATTTTCTACAATATTTTTGTGATGCTCATGTGTGCCTCAGTTTCCTCTCTGCACTTTCCATTGCTTCCCCATGGTTGCAAAAAGGGTTAAAAAGCTGCTCTTGAGACAGAGCAGGAGACGTGAAGTGTTTTGTCACATAACTGTCTCAGGTGGAATGAATGGATCATTAAGGACTCACTGGAGGATCCAGAAAAAAACAAACGGGAGCCCCAACTACTGGATGGACTGACTGACCGACACCTATCCAAAGGAATCTGCAGCAGGCAGAACATGTGAACTCAGCATAGCTCGGCAGGAGGGGATAAGGGCTGGCTTTTGGAGAAACTTAGCAGCTCTCTCCTGGGACTGACAGAGAGACAGATACAGAAATGGATTCCATAACAGCTTGGCTGGCTGATTGCTCTGGCTTACCCGGTATGTAACCATGTCTTAATTTTAGTTCTGTATGCAAGCCTAAGGACGACCCAATCCTGTGTTCCAGTCGACTAATAATCTCTACTCTGTTGGCTGCTTGCTTTCACTTTAAATACTCAGAGTCCTGTGCCCTGAAGTGTATAGCACAAGCCTGCCGCAGGAGTCTGGCTTGGCTGGATTTGCTGCAGGGAGCCACAGAGAGAGAAAGGGTTCACTGGTGCTGGAAGGCCCAGTCTGGGAGTTTTGGAGTCGTGGAGGCCAGGGGACTGTCCTGTGGAACTGGGTGGGTCCTTGGGGTCCAGCACACTAAAAGGGTCACTCCCAAGCACCTGGACAGGTTTGTAGAAATTTTGTTGGTGACCAGAACACCTAGAACCCCGCCCCCCCGCAAACTCCCCACACACACCTGCCTAAGGCTCTGGGAGGGAGTTTGGGTGCAAGCTCTGGGATGGGGATGGGGCAGGGGATTGGGGTGCAGGCTCTGGGAGGGAATTTTGGTGCAGAAGGGGTGAGAGGTCAGGCTCCGGGAGGGAGTTTGGGAACAAAAGTAGGTGCAGGGGAGCGGTGGGAGTGCAAGAGGGAGTTGGGGGGGTGCGGGGTTCAGGATGGGGGTGTGGGAGGGGGTGAGGGGTGCAGGCTTTGGGAGGGAGTTTGGGGGCAAGAGGATGTGCGGGGGTGGGGGTGCAGGAGGAAATCTGGGGGCCGAAGGGTGTGTTTGCGGAGGGGATGTGGATTCAGGCTCTGGAAGTGGATGGGGGGGTTCGATGCTTACCAGTGGCTCCTAGCCGGGGCAGGCCGGGGGGGGGTCTCCTCACGCTGCTGTCTCCAGGCACCGCCCCTGAAGCTTCCCATTGGCTGCAGGGGTGTTTGGGGCCGGGGTAGCGCGCAGCAGCACAACCCCCTCACACGGGCTGCAAGGACCTGCCCGCAGCCATGTGAAACGAGAGCGTAGGAAGCTGCTCAGCCCCGCTGCGCAGCTGGGTGGCTGCGGGAGCCCCCGGGCTATTTTAAATCGCCCGGGGGCGGCAGGTGGGGCCGGGGGAAGCATGGGGGGAGTGTGTGGGGGGGGGGGCGGCGGGAAAACTTTGCTAGAGCTGGGCCACTGGGACAGGAATATTCCTGGTGCCCAGGCACCATAGAACTCGCCGCCCATGCTCCCAAGGGACTGGTTACAGGCTATGGCATAAACCAGACCCTGTGAATCCATGACCCCTGTTTTCCTTTGATCCCTGACATGTATTGCTGGAGCATCAAGGAGAGGGTTACAGAACATGAAACTGCTGGATTATCTTGCTACTTTATTCTCATGACCTGAAGTGTCACTGGAACTGTGTGAAACTTTGAGTGTGTCTCTGTAAGCTCTAACTGAATAGTAAATACTTCTCTGTGCCTTGTTAAGATGCTCAGTGTTGCAATGCCTAATTGATTTAGGAGCCCAAGTCTCATTTTCAAAAGGGCTTCAGGCACTTGGGAGCTAAGTGTCTAAATCCTTTTTGAAAATGAGACTTGGGCACTGCAATACTGATTGTAGCAACAACTAATTACCTTTACAAACCTGGGCCTTACAGCCTCTCCCTCTCCAGAATCTGAGTCTATACAGTCCCCACTAGTTATTCAGTGTAACTGCAGAAGGCAAAATAAGAACAAAATACAAGATATTCAAAAAACAGACACTGCCACTTCAGCTATGGATCAGAATTTAAACCAAATTAAAAATCTATAAATTAAGTGAACAAATGTTTAATATTAAATTAAAAAAGAAAACCTTTGTCCACCTACTTTTCTGAAAAGCAGCCTTCCAGAGGATAGGCTAGAAGTATTCCTTGAGATTCTTTAAGACCAGCTTCTCCAGCCCATTAGGCAGCTTGAAGTGGCCAGATATGGCCAGTGGAGAATTCTGCCTGTGCAAGTATCCACTGATACAATTCTGGTGGAGGTGGCTTTGCCACTCCCTCTGGCAGCTGTCCCCTGAACCCCAGTGTGGGTCACAGGGGGAAGGAGGCATGTTGGGAGAGTTCTGGTGGGTATTGCTTCATAAATAACAAATCAATTTATTAACACTGATTAATTTGCTACATCTGTGTGAGGTAGGGATTGCACCCATTTTACAGATAAATGAAGTGAGTTAGAAGTATAAAAGGTTCAATCCTACTTCTATTAGAGTCCATGGCAAAGTTCCTATTAAACTAAATGTGAGAACGATTATCCCCTAAGGGACCTGTAAACTTGGCCACTGCCTCTCTGTGCTGAGGAGTTGATAGGCCATCCCTGAGCATCTCCCTCCTTCTCCTTACTGGAAGGAGAATGGGCTAGGGTGATGCTGGAAGCCATCTTGACCATTGCTTCCCCTTGATACAATGGAGGGAACAGAATGGAACTATTTTCCCCTCATCACAGGGAACAGAGGGCCATATTTAATGTCTCCCTGCCTGCAATGATCTCAGTAGATCGCACGGGTTACTTGGAGCTGCAGAGTTCCTGGGAAATCTTCATAACCTTTCTGGGACCTGAATTTCACCATCTGGTAACTGCTGGAACAGACTCACATGAAGTCAGATTAACATACTTTGACCATGGTGAGAAATAACAAGTGTTGTCCAATTAAAAAAAGGGAGAAGGCATCTTTTTCTTTTAAGAGCGACTGAATGGCTGAAAAACTGACAGTTAAAACCGGACAGATAAGATCATGTTTATACCTTTTGCTAGCAGGAAGTGTAGGCATTGCCAAATAAGAGATTAAATATTACCTATTTTTAAAATAACATTTCATAGCAGTAACTGCTGACTGCTGGCTTTGCAGTCACTTACATTTTAAAAAAAGAAAACATTGAAGGATTTCTTTTTTAATAGATGCAGATTATGTTGTTATACTATCTTATGCTGCAAATCCAAAAAGTGCAAAGTGGAGGATGTATTTCTATATATATATAGATATATATAGTGCCAGTCTTTTACTTATTTCCCCCCTTTCACTGAAATGTGATTTTACTTGTAAATAGCAGAGAGTCTGCATTTAAAAACACTGTTCATGTTTATCATCTCTCAGTTATATCCACTCCCCAATACAAACACACACACACAATGGAGGACAGTCACTTAGGGTATGTCTACATTGCAGTTAGACACCTATGGCTGGCTCAAAGTTTGTGGGGCTGGGACTAAGGGGCTGTCTAATTGCAGTGCAGATGTTCAGTCTTGGCTTGCAGCTGGAGCTTTGGGACCCTCCCACCTCAGAGGGTCCTAGAGCCTGTGCTTCAGCCTGAGCATCTACACAAAGGATGACCAAACTTACTGACCCTCTGAGCCGCATACGACTGTCTTCAGAAGTTCGAGAGCCAGAGTGTGTCTGCAGGAAGCGCCTGCTGGGGCTTAGGACTTCAGCTCTGCTCCAGCTGAAGCCCCAAACCCCGGCAGGCACGCCCCACAGGGCTGAAGCCCTGAGCCCCTCCTCCCTGATAGGCAGAAGCCCCTACCCCATCACCCTGCTGCAAGGCAGAAGTCCCGAGCTCCCCCCGCCCCCAAGTCTGGTAGGTGGAGAATGGGGGTGGGGACCTCCGAGAGCCACACTTAAAAACGGCTCATGAGCCACAGTTTGGCCACCCTTGGTCTACACAACAATTAAACAGCCCCATGAGCCTGAGTCAACTGGCATGGGCCAGCTGTGGGTTTTTAATTGCAGTGTAAACATTCGCCTATTTTCTCCGTTTATTGTATTTAGCACCTTGTGTAACAAGTCTTGAGAGACTGAGTTCATTTAGAACAAGAATGTGCATTCATTAATCTTTGTATACAATAAGTAAAAGTTTGAATCAACAAATTAAAATGATCGTTACAGTGTTGCATGTGGGTTAGAAGTCTTAAACAGTATTTATTATAAAAAAATAAAAAAGTTATTATGAGATGGTTCACTAACTAAATCAGCAGAGTTATTCTACTTCCCAACATCTAAGATCATCATAATGGTCTAAATTTAAAACCCTTCCTTGCCACAAGTTCAGGATATGCAAGAATATTGTAGATTTTAAACCTAGATTCTCACGTTTCCAGTTCTGCAACCAATGACATGCCCATTTTGTTCAAACTAATATTAAAGTTTATTAACTGTTTCATTAAGAAATATTTTCCATGAGATTCAGAGGGCGGAAAATAATAGAAATAAAATTACTCAGAGGAAAACAACAAAATGCTCCTTTAACACCATGGCAATATGTATCTGAATTACATATTAACACTGAACACCTATTTTAAGGTATTGAGTGCTCTTTGAAACTAGAATTTTTCCCTTTTACTAATGGAATTTTAACAATAGGAAGAGTTTTCCTTCTCACAGCATGTAAAGCTACATCCAGAAGTTTTTGTTGTTTTCAGCCTAAATCACTTCTAAGAGAAAAATAAGGTACAGCTAAATGCACACAAACACATGCCATGAATAACCTGACACACTTTAAAGTCTGAAGAGTCCATTGTTTTGAAAATTTCCCATCTCTCTAAAGCTGTCAAGAATAAAGAATTTATTTCACCATGTTGCACTGCAGCAGTTTTAAAAGAAGAAAACAACAAGGAATACTAGCTTTATGTACGATGAAATATTAATTTTCAAAAACGCTCTGATTCCCTAAGGTACAGGGATACCACACGAAATCATACACCCTATGCTGGTTCACTAATTTTACAGCATTTAGAAATTATTACTTATTCCTCAACTCACCCAAAAATCAACTATTAATCCCTTACAAATTGCTTCTACCTGGATTAGATTCAATTTAACTCCAAACCTAACTAAAAATCTATAGAAAGACTCAATAAGTCTCTGGATCAGCCCTTTAAAATAAAATTTCACCCACTGCAGGGACCATTAAAATATAAAAAAAATATTACTTGATCTCTCAGTGTTTCTGAAGCACGCATCTCTGCAATATCTAGTAGCTGCCAATTTGTAGGCCAGATATAAATGAAATCATCATGATGTACAGTAAGCATTTGTGGATTAAAGACCCCCTTCACTATCTACTAGGAAATGATCAGATAAAGGCACAGGTGGTTAAGATGAAAACCACCCAAAACTGTTCTTCACACCTTTATCAAAAAGGCAAGTTCAAATCATTCACTGGATTTACCAGCCAATACAGATGGTTCACGCCTTATTTTACAATCCTAGCAGCTAGATAAATGGACTTGATAAATGGACTAGATAAATGGACTTGATCATGGGCCACAGACTCCTGTGGATGCCCAGTGGTCCAAATCACTGAAGACATCTGTGAATGGAGTCACTGCTGAGAACTACTTTCAGAAAATTTGCTTGATATTAAGTATGTCTAAAGATACTTCCGGGAATCACGATTTTTGCTGTTTTTACTAGTGAAGGATTTTTTCCCCCAAAATTGGAGCTGCTGATACTCAACATCTTTTAAAAAATCAGGCTTTAACTGTCTTACAAAGCACCAGTCATGACATCCATGAGCCACTGCAAAGGAAAATACCACATTTGGCGTCTTGACCTCTTTCTGTCACATCAACAAACTATCCACTCTAGAAGATGCCAGAGGTGAATTAAAGATGGTAAATTAGCACAACACTCAGGTGTTTTAATGCTCTGGGAGCTTTAAAATGGGCACTAATGGTTAAAATGGGCACTAATGGTTAAAATCCTTAAATTTGCAAAAAAAAAAAACCCAAAAACTTAACTTCTTAGGAAAAAACCTTTTAAGAACCAAGAAATTGCCATACTGGATCAGACCAATGTTTCATTTAGTTCAGTGCTCCATCTCCGACACTGACCAGTACTAGAAGCTTCACAGGACGGGGAAAGAATCCCTCATATTACATGAAGTGACCGTTTTCTGAAATTTTTCTCAATAGTTTCTCTCAATTTTCTAAATATTATTTTCCTGCAGTTCAAGTATAAAGGAATAAAGTTCAGGAGTGAAATTCTGGTCCCACTGACTTCAGTGAGGCCACGAGTTTACTCCAGAAACCATAGCAGTCTGGGCAGTCCGTCATAGAAATGCCACTTCACTGCACAACGAAAGAGCTCATTCTGGGGGAAGAAATGGATTGGAGAGCCTTCATTTTCAGAAGCTGGCATTACTTTGGCTTACATTGTCCCCGTTTAACAACATTAGCTCTTAAAAATGATGCCTGCTTACATTTGACTGAGAGGGGAGATAATTTACTACTGCTTTTGTTCGTGGGAGAGGGACAATTGTTTTTTGGGGCTGGGGGGGAGTCGTCACAATATAAAAACTATTTTTAAATGAAAGCTTACAATCCACAATAAAGAAAAAAAATCCAGAAATTGCTCAAAGGCCCTAAAGGTTACAGAATAAAAGAGCTTATTTGTACCCACAATTCTCCAGGGCCTCATCCGTGGAGACTGTCAATTATGCAGAGAGCTAGTGAACACAATATTAAACCATTTAATCAAACATATACTGCAGATGCCACTAATATTTTCTTCAACTGGTTTCTTGCTTCAGACAACAAAGACGCAGACTGTACATGATGTACACTAAGAAAGAATATCAAATCAGAAATTGAGATCTTATTACACTGACCACGTCTAGTCTAACAAAGAGAAATCTCTAACTCTAGATACTACAGCAATACGATAATAATAATTATTAATAATGGAGAAAGATCAAATCCAACTAAAGTTAGTGCACCTGGTATTAAGGGTTTATTCAGGGTTTTTGTTCATTTGTTCTATATTTTTAATTCTTACAGTTATAGAGCCAAATATACCACTGGGTTAACTAGGCACAACTCTAATGAAATCACAGGAGTTGCATGCACTTACTCCAGCTGTGAATTTGGCCAAAAATGCACTGTTGAACAATTTTGATATAAAACTACTGCACTCCTGTAGCGAAACACACTTGTAATACATACATAGGTATGACAATTTCTTTGGCCCCAGATCACCTTTACAGAGAACAGGATTTGCCTCCCCACAAACTAATATCCTTTCATACAAATCCAAATATAAAAAGGTGACAAAGTCCATTAACTACAGTAAATGAATTATTTGCAGCTTTAAAAATAATATAGAAGAGCTGTAAATTGCAACAATGCTACCGCAGTAGTCACCATTATTGTTCAAATAATTAATGGACCCCGGCTTTCAAAACGTGAAACCCAGTGATTTCAACTTCTGAATTAGCATACAGAACAGCAGAATACAGCATAAAATGCATTATTTAAATGTCAGATTTTTTTAAAAGGATATCCTAAAATTGGGGTTTTTTCTAATAGATTTGAATATTTTTAAAAAAACATCTTTCCGCCCTGTAAAGCCTCAAAAGCTTGAAATAAATATATCTTATCCTGTAGATTTTGTACTCATACACCATGTACCAGAATTACCAGCTCACATCACCATTAGTGCGTTAGATGCACCTTCTGTTTGTTTTAAATTAATAATTTCTCAGCAACAAAGGGCTAGGTGTTTAAAAGAAATGAATGATCATCTGGAACTGATTAAGTGCTTTGAATTTTAAAAAATTAAGGTCAAATTTAGGATCCACCATCATTGGGACCTCAGCTGTGGTACCTGACAGTGCCCCTTTTATAGAAGGTTGTCAGCTTTCTTAATTTTATGAGGAGCTATGTATTAGAGTATGTCTACACTACGAAATTAGGTCGAATTTATAGAAGTCGGTTTTTTAGAAATCGGTTTTATATATTCGAGTGTGTGTGTCCCCACAGAAAATGCTCTAAGTGCATTAAGTGCATTAACTCGGCGGAGTGCTTCCACAGTACCGAGGCTAGAGTCGACTTCCGGAGCGTTGCACTGTGGGTAGCTATCCCACAGTTCCCGCAGTCTCCACTGCCCATTGGAATTCTGAGTTGAGATCCCAATGCCTGATGGGGCTAAAACATTGTCGCGGGTGGTTCTGGGTACATATCGTCAGGCCCCCGTTCCCTCCCTCCCTCCGTGAAACCAAGGGCATAAAATCGTTTCGCACCTTTTTTCCTGAGTTACCTGTGCAGACGCCATACCACGGCAAGCACAGAGCCCACTCAGCTCACTGTCACCGTATGTCTCCTGGGTGCTGGCAGACGCGGTACTGCATTGCTACACAGCAGCAGCAACCCATTGCCTTGTGGCAGCAGACGGTGCAATAGGACTGGTAGCCTTCATCGTCATGTCCGAGGTGCTCCTGGTCGCCTCTGTGAGGTCGATCAGGAGTGCCTGGGCAGACATGGGCGCAGGGACTAAATTTGGAGTGACTTGACCAGGTCATTCTCTTCAGTCCTGCAGTCAGTCCTATTGAACCGTCTTATGGTGAGCAGGCAGGCGATACGGATTGCTAGCAGTCGTACTGTACCATCTTCTGCCGGAAAGGCAAGAGATGAGGATGGCAAGCAGTCGTACTGTACCATCTTCTGCAGAGCAGCCATTAGAGGTGGATGGCATGCAGTCCTTCTCCACCGTCTGCTGCCAGCCCAAGGTGTAAAAGATAGATGGAGTGGATCAAAACAAGAAATAGACCAGATTTGTTTTGTATTCATTTGCTTCCCCCCATCCCCCGTCTAGGGGACTCATTCCTCTAGGTCACACTGCAGTCACTCACAGAGAAGGTGCAGCGAGGTAAATCTAGCCATGTATCAATCAGAGGCCAGACTAACCTCTTTGTTCCAATAAGAACAATAACTTAAGTGCACCATTTCTTATTGGAACCCTCCGTGAAGTCCTGCCTGAAATACTCCTTGATGTAAAGCCACTTCCTTTGTTGATTTTAACTCCCTGTAAGCCAACCCTGTAAGCCATGTCGTCAGTTGCCCCTCCCTGCATCAGAGCAACGGCAAACAATCGTGCATCTGAGTTGAGAGTGCTGTCCAGAGCAGTCACAATGGAGCACTCTGGGATAGCTCGCGGAGGCCAATACCATCGAATTGTGTCCACAGTACCCCAAATTTGACCTGGCAAGGCCAATTTAAGCGCTAATCCACTTGTCAGGGGTGGAGTAAGGAAATCGATTTTAAGAGCCCTTTAAGTCGAAATAAAGGGCTTCATCATGTGGACGGGTGCAGGTTTACATCGATTTAACGCTGCTAAATTCGACCTAAAGTCCTAGTGTAGACCAGGGCTTAGTCTCACCATTAGGTTTAGCTATGATTTACTTCATTCATATATTTCAGGGCCAGAAGGGACCATAATGATCATCTAATCTTACCTCGGGACTCATAACTCTCCCAAAACAAGCTACTGCTTGGTAAGGAGAATTGTAATGTCCCTTTCTTCTCCCAGATTGTCTCACTTATCCCCAGCTGTCTATACAATGAGACTCAAGAGAAACAACAAACACATTTTTAAAGAATGATAGTTATTAAGAGTTGAGGGAAACATTTCTTCACTTTTGTACCTGTTTCATCAGGTGAACTTGGAGAAGCACTGTCCTGCGATAACGTTGTCCAGCTGGAGTCTTCATCACTTGGAGCCAGATTTTGAATCCGATGTAATGCACAATCTGTTTTGGCTCCAGTTTTAGGATGGTCCTTCTTAGTCTCAGGACTTGATGATACAGTGGCTACTTGGCCATCTTCTGGACTGGACAGCTTGTTTTGTTTCTGAGGCAACACATCCCCATTGACAATCATGGTAGAAGCCTGGCTGTTACTTTGTGCCGCTTTCTCCTCCATCACTACATGGCTGTTCCCAAAATTTTGTTCTAGTTCCCTGGTTGATGTTTCCAGATCTGCATAGTAATTTAGGAAGCTCTTGCTCCTCCTAGGTTGAGAAGAGAATATTTCACAGCCTGCAGAATCCTGAGGGGTTGGCTCTTTACCTTCTAACTTCTCAGAAGTTATGTTTATGCCTGCAGTCATAGTGAGATTTTTGTTGGGATCCTGTTGCCCCTGTTCTGCTGCTTTTCTAAGCTGATTTTCTCCATTCTTCACCAGCTTTATATTGGCAGAGTTGTTCCCCAGAAGGGGCTGTGCTGCTGGATCCGAAAGGCCCATGGCTGTCTGAATGTTAGTTAATGCATATTTTTTCCTGCATTTTGGGGGAGTGCTGTTCTTTGTTTCTGTATGCTTTATTTCCGCATTCAATAGTTCATTATGGGAGGAGCGTAGGTTAAGAGTATTTGGGGGAGTGGCAGGATTATTGCGATTCACAATGTCTGTCGTGCTATTGCTTGCCATAAACACAGCCAACGCGTCCACACTGGAGTCAACTAGAAAAGAAAAACAAATATTCATGAGATACATTAATTGTATACTCCTTGTAACAGAGCTTTTGGAAATGGGATGCAACGTTTTATGTAATGTGCAAAGAATAGTTTCTACAAACTAAGCAGGAAGGAGGACAGACACCTCAACAGAAAAGATCAGTTTATTAAATATGGAGGTCCAAAGGCAAAAAGGGTGGAGATGACATTGGGAAATGTTAAGTTGTTAAGAAAAGTATACAAGGTTTTTGACCCCAAATTTTATTTTACATTTTTGCATGTTTGAGCTACTGTGTTCCAACTAGGTAAATTCTGGGGAGGGAGAGAAGTACTTTGCATCTGCTTTGCTGCCCTGAAGTTCATCATCCTCTCTCTCTCACTAAAACTTAAATGTTTCACCGCCTCATCAGCCAAGGAGTAGGGCAAGAATTTCTTTAGGACTCATCAGTAGTGAGTTGATGAATGCCTGAAGAGTGAGTGGCCCTACAGACCAAAGCAAGACACTACTCCCTTTCCACTCTGGTAGAAATGAAACATTGTTATTACTTATTTTAGGGCTGACTGGCAAAGCCAGCTATTGCCTCTTAACAGCTTCAAGAAATGTACCACAGCTGTTTGCAAATTTTTTTGTACAGCTGTGCTAATTTTTTGGCAATTCTCTAGTGTTTTTACGCATACATGCTATGCTATTTTGTTAGCTATAGTGTTTTTATAATACTGTACATATTTAGCAACAATTTTTTCACATCCGCACAAAAAACACAATTTGGCAAATTTATCCCTAATGCAATTCTACTGATTCCTAAGAAGTTACTCCAGGGATGAATGTGGCCCACTATTTTTATAGTTCACAACATCTTTGGCTATTGATAAGCTGTACTTTCAAAGGGAGACTCCATATATTCCGTAACTGGACTACAACATTCTTCTACTTTTCTTAGTGGTTTGCAACTTGTGGGCAAACTCTCAGCTTGTCCGAGACATTGCTCAAGCTCTCAGAGAACTAGGCTTGGGCAGGGAGAGGATTTTCAGACTGTGATGAAATGATCAAGTAAAGGATTTTTTATTTAAAAAAAAAAAAAGTAGCTTTTGTTTCCTCTGCTGCCTACTGTCACTGCCATAGTAAAGTATGGCTCCCATTAATCATAATAAATACACCCTGAATGCTTCCTGTTACTCACTCTTTTGAGAGGCCAATTAGTAATCACTCCCTCTGACAGAGTATGAAGCACCGTCTCCGTTTGTTCCTAGTTCTCAGACAGGGCTGATTTGCACAGTAAAATGAGGGGTTGGCTGTACGTATATCCATGGATAAAAAACTATAGTCTGAGCCAGCCACTGGGAGAACTTTCTAGTTAAGATGTATTGCACCTTTGAGTATTAAATATGTGAAAGAAGAGACTACTGTAAAATGTGGATTTAAAAAAAATTAAGAACTTGTGGGCTTTTTCTTAATATACAAAATAAGGAACACTATATGAAAGGTTTAATTAAATTCAGGTACACTTGTTAACCTTACAGTTTAACTTATTTTCAAAATTACATATTTCATTTCATTTAAACCTTAGAAAACAGACTAATGTATCCTTTACTCTCTCTTTTCCTCTGTATCACAGACGTAGAGTAACTTCCAGTCCTAAGGGGTGGTTTACAAAGGGTTTAAACACACGATTTTTCATGATCTGATTACTGTGATTTCCTCAAATTCTGGTCTGTTAGCCTTCTAACTTTAGTTTTAGTTATTTAGTTAATAATAAATGTGTATTTTTATTATTGTAACCATGGGACGTTTCAAAAAATATCACAAATTTCTGAAATTTGTGTTTCCCACAGATAATTAAATACTTTTAAGAGTTGCCATCTCACATCTTGTCCGTCAGATTGATACTTCAAGATGCAAAGTAATGTCATGACTCATCTGGTTGAGGTCTCAACATAAAGTTATGCACAAGGGCCCTCTGTTATAAAAGCATGTATGTAGATTTTTTTGTCTCAGAACAAGAAGTTACTTGAATTTATTGATTTGCTTTTTTAATTTCTTTTGGTTTGGTTTTTAATTTCTTTTGGTCTGAACGCAATCTAGACGTTAAACACTCATAGACTTTAAGGTCAGAAGGAATCATCGTGATTATCTAGTCTGACCTCCTGCACATTGCAGGCCACAAAACCTCACCAACTCACTTCTGACTTATAACCTGTAATAGATCCATAACCTCTGCTGAGTTACTTAAATCCTTACATCATGATTTAAAGACTTCAAGTTACAGAGAATCCACCATTTACACTAGTTTACACCCTGGCCCCATGCTGCTGAGGAAGGTGAAAAATACCAGAGTCTCTGCCAATCTAACTTGGGGGAAAATTCCTTCTTGACCCCTAATATGACAATCAGTTAGACCCTGAGTATATGGCAAGACCCAACAGCAAGACATCTGGGAAAGAATTCTCTGTAGTTACTCAGAGCCCTCCCCACCTAGTGTCCCATCACTGGCTGCTGGAGATATTTGCTGCTAGCAGTCGCAGATCAGTTACGTACCATTATAGGCAGTCTCATCGTATCATCCCCTCAATAAACCTATCAAGTTCAGTCTTGAAGCCAGTTAGGTTTTTTGCCCCCACTGTTTCCCTTAGAGTGGTGTTCCAGAACTTCACTTCTCTGATGGTTAGAAACCTTTGTCTCATTTCAAAACTAAACTTGTTGATGAGCAGATAATATCCGTTTGTTCTTGTGTCCTCATTGGCCCTTAATTTAAGTAACTCCTCTCCCTCCTCGGTATTTATTCCTCTGATGTCTTTACAGATAGCAACCATATCTCCCCTCAGCCTTCTTTTGGTTAGGCTAAACAAGCCAAGCCCTTTGAGTCTCCTAAGTAGGTTTTCCATTCCTCTGATCATCCTAGTTGCCCTTCTCTGCACCTGTTCCAGTTTGAATTCATCTTTCTTAAACATGGGAGACCAGAACTGCACATAGTATTCCAGGTGAGGTCTCATCAGTGCCTTGTATAACGGTACTACCGCTTCCCTGTCTCTACTGGCAATACCTCGCCTGATGCAACCTACGACTGCATTAGCCTTTTTCATGGCCGCATCACATTGGTGGCTCATTGTCATCCTGTGATCAACCAACACACTCTTTGTAAAACTTTTAAGGAAAGGATAATTGTGACCCCTGCCAGTTTATGCCTGGTAGAGTGTCCAAAATTGTATGCTATTTATGCAGGCCAGTTTTTGAAATCAGAAAATCATAGTACATTTCAGTAAAATAAAACGTAAAATAATAATAATAATAATCATCATCATCATCATCATCTAACTATGACAACCTGAAATAAGATTACAATCTATATACAGTTAATTAACAGTTAATTAATATTGTTACAAGCAGGCACCCCAGTTGTGAAGATTCCAGTGTCCACTGCAATGTTTTTCTAACTACTTTTTGTCTCAAACAGAATTCTTAAGAAACATATATCTTCCTAGATAAAGTTCAAACACATCCTTCCACATGATTTACTCAGTCTCCAGTGGATTGCATTTCAAATGACAAAATCAACACATGGAGACGTAAGTACAAACCAACATGATTATTAGTCTACTAAGTAAACATCTACCACGAATACTGACTCATTCCTAGAAAGTGAATCATGAGCTAAGGTTTTAAATGGCTCAACATGAAGTTATTGTACCTCACTGTTGTTTATACATTACATTGTTTATACAGGTTTCAGAGTAGCAGCCATGTTAGTCTGTATTCGCAAAAAGAAAAGGAGTACTTGTGGCATCTTAGAGACTAACAAATTTATTTGAGAATGCATCCGATGAAGTGAGCTGTACCTCACGAAAGCTTATGCTCAAATAAATTGGTTAGTCTCTAAGGTGCCACAAGAACTCCTTTTCTTCTTATTGTTTATACATTAACTCAAATGTGCAACTCCTAACCATCATAGCCTAAGTAGTGCACATATTTAGAGGAGGGAGTATGTCCTCTCATGAAGTAGATTTTTGGTTATCTTCCATTGACCCTGCCGTCATACTCATCTACACACTCATTTACAAAGTGCTGTTCCTACGCTATCAGGCAGCTCCTGCATCCTATAATTTGTATTCCATTCCTTGTTCTACCTGAAACTGAAGTATTAAGCAGAGCTAGGAGCAGCATCAGTTAGAAACAAATGAGTTGGGAATTAGTATTAATAGGTGCGGGGAGGATTGGACACAAGTACGTGGCAGAGAGAGGAGAACCAGAATGGAAATGAAGAAAGGAAAGGAGGAGGAGGAGTCAAATGGTAAGAAAGGAAGAAATTAGGGAGAGAAGGGGTTGGAACCAGATCAATAAGTGACAAAGCGAGAGATTAGAAAAAGGTGAAGTGAAGAAGAGAAACAACAGGAGGCAACAATGGACAAGGGAATATAGATGGGGAAAATCCATCCTGACGTGAAGAGCACTTCCTATCTATCAAGGATGGAAGACAATGCCTGAGAAAGAATTACTGCATGTACTAGAAAATATAGGCGTACTAAGGAAGGGCTTAAATTACCTGAAGGTAGGAGTGAGAACAGAAACAGAACATAAAGATAAAGAGTGAGAAGGAAAAGATAACACCCTACTTCAGGCACTAAGATGCTTTCATTCAGAATGTCAGTTTGTCCAGAGGAAGCATATCCCAATTTGCAATTCAAAACTTCAGGGAATCAGATTTCTTTTGGCGCCTCTTCTTCATCCACCCCCTTTAATTCTGAGTCAGGTGCAACTGTTTTCACTTGGTTACATCTCACAGTTAGAGTGTTCCTACCAATTCCCAAGGAAGTCCAAACTAGTTCCAACCCACATTTCCCCCTCAGTATTACCATTTTGATTTGGGAGTGTTTTCCACTCACTTCCCTCAGATGTATAAGTAATGTCACAAGAGGCAAAGCAAGGGAGGAGCTGGCCCCAAGTCTGTACTTCACATTTCCCAGTACACCATACAGTACTGCCTTTACATCGGAGGAGTGGGCAAACCTTT